TCAGGCAGGCGGTATGGCTGCAACATAAAATTCAAGGCAAGCAGTGAAAAGAGATGAGCTGGACTAATGACTAAATCATTAAGCTCCTTTGGAAGTACTCAGACTCATGATGAGGATCCACTAAAGGGACAAGAAGGCTAACAAGTCTACTGTATTCATTCCCGAGTTGTGGTTTCATCTTCAAAAACAGATATTCAGTAACAGTATTTCCCTAATTTTCAAAGTGTACCATCTCCCATCCCTGCCTGTAAAGGAAAGTTATAACAACAACAAAAAAGTATTCTAGTTTCTAACTATCAGACTGTACTGAGTCCACAAATTACAAAGCATAATAGTGCAGTAGACCTTGGGATCAATAGAATTAGTTTACTTTTAATTTCTTAACAGCAAGAAATCAATGAAACATTACAATAACATTTAATTTTAACTGAAGCAATCTCTAATTATTATAGTTTAGTTCTGGATAAAACAGTTAAATGTAAACTATCATAAACAACTCCGAGGAGCAGGAAATCTACTACTTTGACTTCAAACTCTAATCTATTCCCATTTAAAGGCAAGTGAGAGTCTATATTTGGAACTAACATAAAGTAGTAATGATACCTATCATTTACACAGTGCTATACATTTTCAAATTCCCTTATATTTATTATTTTATTCTTCTCATAAGTTTATTACGGAGGTATCATTTCTTCCATGCAATCAAAATTGCAGAGAAAATTCATGCACAGCGTGACAGGGCGGTTTTTCTTGCTGAACAGACAAATTATCTAAGACCAAGCAACATGAAATAATAGCCCATGTCCTATTCTGGGAGATACATGCAAGACACTATATGACACTCAGCTCTGAGGAAGTCCAGTAACAGTTACATCAAGGTTTATTTTACATAGGCCTCAATGTGGCTCCTTAGCCAATGCCAATCCCAAAACAGACTTTAAAAAACCATACACCTAGAGCAGCACTGGTGATACATGGTGAGGGAGGTGGGTAAACCTCATTTTACTATCTGAAATGCTAGCTTAACACATGTCAGAGAGAAAAAACTTTATACAGGGGCAGATTTAACTTATTACAAAAGACAAACCTCAATGACAATGTAGATACAGGTATAGATGTAGGTTTGAGATTAATACTGGAAGGGTAAAGGCATAAAACTAAAGGCTGAAGTTAAGTTTTCATTCCTACATGAGATCAAGTAAGATTCCACTGTTAAACCACAGTTCAAGATGTCCAACAAATGCCTGAAAATTCTTAGAACCAGTAAAAGTTATTTCTATTCTATGCATCCAGTTTATTTTCAATCTTACTGGATTTTAAATTTTAAATGTTTTCTGAAATAAGGGAGGATTTAAGTTAGCTAACTAAACAAATAGGAAACAAAAAATGAAAAAAGAAAACTATACCTTTATATCGAAATTACAATCAAGTCTTCTAATTAGCACGATGAAAGCGCCAGATGAATTGTCTTTTACTGGTGGAGGCACTATGGGTTCACAGGCATTCTCTGGTTTTGAGTTAATCAAAAAACCCTGAAAAAGAATTGGTAAAAATTATCTATCTGTTTCAGTCAATAAATCAATCAACCTACTTCTACAAATACCTTTTCAATTTGTCATGTTTTGCATTATGCTAGATGTATTATTGGGCATCTACAATTGCTCACAATCACAGAACTTCTAAAGCAGCATTTGCTTTCATAAAGCATTTAGTTTTCTAAAATAAGTTCTATCTTTTGTATTGAAGTTAAAAAATAATAATAATAAGCAAACGCATGCATAAGCCAATCACCCCAAAGACAACCACTGGTATATTTTCTAACAATATTTGACATTTTCAAACCAAGCAAAGATGTCTTAAAAATTAACTTTCTTTCATGTTAGCAGACAATGAAATGCACATAATAAATACATTTACAGAAATTTATTCTGCAGAAATGCTAGCCTGAGTATGTAAGGTGTATGTGGAAAGACAGTTATTGGTACATTATTATTATTATTATTATTATTATTATTATTATTATTTGAGATGGAGTCTTCGCTCTGTCGCCCAGGCTGGAGTGCAGTGGCGCGATCTCGGCTCACTGCAAGCTCCGCCTCCCGAGTTCACGCCATTCTCCTGCCTCAGTCTCCAAAGTAGCTGGGACTACAGGCGCTCGCCACCACCCCCTTCTAATTTTTTTGTATTTTTAGTAGAGACAGGGTTTCACTGTGTTAGCCAGGATGGTCTCGATCTCCTGACCTCGTGCTCCACCCTCAGCCTCCCAAAGTGCTGGGATTACACGTGTGAGCCACCACACCCAGCCTCGTACATTATTTTTAATAGCAAAAACTGGAAATCACATATATCCAAAAGACAGCTATTTAAACAATTATAGTATATTTATACAATAGGTAAATAATGCAGCCATTTAAAAAAATGAGGAAGACCTGTACACACTAAACTGAAAAGACGTTCACAAGATAACCATGAATTTAAAAAGTAAACAGCAAGTTGCTTTCAGGAATGCAGGATGGTTTGACATAAGAAAATGTAGTAACAGGTCGGTCGCGGTGACTCACACTTGCAATCCCGGCACTTTGGGGGGCCGAGGCAGATGGATCACCTGAAGTCAGGAGTTCAAGACCAGCCTGGAAAACATGGCAAAACCCCGTCTCTACTAAAAATACAAAAATTAGCCGAGCATGGTGGCACATGCCTGTAGTCCCAGCTACTTGGGAGGCTGAGGCAGGAGAATGGCTTGAATCCAGGAGATGGAGGCTGCAGTGAGTCAAGATTGTGCCACTGCACTCCAGCCTGGGCGATAGAGCGAAACCCCATCTCGCAAAAAAAAAAAAAAAATCTGGTAACAGATTAAAACAGAAAAATCAAATGACTATCTTAACATATGTAAAAAGTGAATAAACACATAAAAAGATGATCAAATTCATTGATTTCATTTATAAAGGAAGGAGGCAATTAAAGCTATGAGACAATGCCTTAACAACAGTTCTGTATGGTCCCTGAACTGGTCACACTAATCATCTATTCCACAGGATTTGGCAATTTCTCCTCCGTGAAATTATATCGCTCAGCTTGTGATATGGAAAGTGTTTGTACATAACTTGGGTATAAAATGTATCACTCTTTCATTTGCTCATGTAATAGCTCCTCTTCTTAATCCCATAAAGCACCTTTTTTGCAAGGAAGTACAACTGTGGTCATCCTTCCAATGATGAATATTTGCTTTATTCTTGTTAAATGTGCACCCTGCTCTGATTGCCTTTCTGCAAACACTTTTTGCTTCAATGCCAAATAATATAGTTTAGGAAATCTTTTTCAACACAGTTATTATAGCAATTAAACACAAGCCATATAGGTTGGCTTCCAGTTCCAAAATGGTGATGCAGAAGCAAGCTGGTTTGACTCCCCTACACAGAAAAAGGAAAACAAATATACAGCAATGAGATTATGGCCAGAAATAAGTCAGAACTCAAATATAAGGAGAGATCATTCCCAGGGCCACAGAGAAGTAAAAAAATCTCCCAGCAGACAGAGAATTAGACTTGCACATCCACGATGCCCCTCCCCCCATTTTGCCAGCACCAACTGCAAGGAAAATTTCCCCTCAACTCACTGTTTCAACTTACTGTAAAAGTAAGACCAAGGTGGAACCAAATTGCCCACTATCTTGGGTTCCCTAGGAGGAGATGTGTCCCTTCCTTAACCCACAGAAAGCATCACAAGTACCTAAAGGGAGAAATATCCATGAGGTAGATAGAGACTAAGAGGGGAAGCAGGACTACAATCCCTAGCCCTATAAAGGACAGCCCTCCTTTGTAACTCTACCAAAGGAGATGCCAAATCACAGTAGCTATTCAGTAGCACCATACAGTAGGTTTGTCCCACAGGTCCACTGGGCATAAACCTCCACAGCCAGCCTTCCCACACTGCCGAGATATCCCCATTGGGACTTGCCCCTTTGGGAAGGGCAACACTTTGATAATTTACTAGAGCCAAGGTGAACCTAAATTTAAGGCACTACCTAAAGCCAAAAAGGAGGCAGTAACCTAGCAGTAAATAACCTCTAACCAAACACATCCAACAGAAACCAAAACAAGCCAGACAGAGAAGAACAGAATAAATAACTAATCTTTCAATGCAAAGACACAGATATACATCCACAAGAAACAACAGCAAGCAGGGAACCATGATGCCCAAATGGACAAAGCAAGAAACCAATAAGCAACCCTAACAAGATGACAATATGTGAACTTTTTAAGCAAGAATTCAAAATAGCAGTTTTAAGGAAACTCAGTGATCTCCAAGATAACACAGAAAAGAAATTCAGAAATTTATCAGAAAATTTTAACCAAAAAATTGAAATAATTCTGTTTAAACCAAACAAATTTTGGAACTAAGAAATATATCTGCTGACCTGAAAAATTCATTAGAGGCACTCAACATCAGAATGGATCAAGGAGAAGAATCAGCAAAGTCAAAGACAGCCTATTTTTAAATACACAGAAGAGAAAAAAGAAAAGAGTGAAAAGCAATAAAGATCTCCTACAAGATAAAGAAAATTACCTCAAAAGACCAACTCTAAGAATTATAGGTGTTCAAGACGGAGCTGAGCAAAAGCAAGGTACAGAAAGCTTATTCAAAAATAAAAAATAAAAACTTTACAAAACTTGAGAAAGATATAAATAACCAGCAACAGGAAGGTGAGAGAACAAACAGATTTGACCCAAATAAGACTACCCCAAGACATACACTAATCAAACTCTCAAAGGTCAAGGACAAAGAGAGGATCCTAAATGCGGCAAGAAAAAAGAAGGAAACAACATACAAAGGAGTTTCAATTCATGTGGCAACAGACTTTTCATTGAAAAACAATACAAGCCAGGAGGAAGTGGAATAACTAGAGAAAGAGAGAGACAGAGAAAGAAAGGAAAGGACAGAAAGGGAAAGGAGAGGGAAGGAGAAGGGAGGGGAAAAAGGGGAGGGGAGGAGAGGAGCAGAGAGGATCATAATGAAGAGGAGCAAAAAGCAAAAAGTGCAGGGAGGGAGGGAGGGAGGAAGGAAGGGAGGAAGAAAGGAAACCTATCATCCAAGAATAACCAAATCCAGTAAAGTTATCCTTCAAATATAAGAAACAAAGTTTTTCCCAGATAAACAAAAGCTGAGAGAGTTTACCACCACCAGGCCTGTCTTACAAGAAATGCTAAGGAAAATTATTCAGTCTGAAAGAAAAAAGACTAACGTGCTAAAATAATTAGAAAAAAAAAACAGTTGAAGGTCTAAAACCCACTGGTAAAATTAAGTACATAGACAAAACCAGAATACTCATACCATAATTGTGGTGTGCAATCCACTCATAACTCCAGTTATGTCCAGAAGACAAATCTATTTAAAACAATTATTTAAAAGAAAGAAAACAAACAAAAAAAATTATAGCTACAGCAACATAGTAAGAGATAGGTAATATAAAAATATGTGAACTGAGACAACTAAAAGCCAAAATGTGAGGGATAGACTTAAAGTGTAGAATTTTTTTTTTCATTCTCATTTGTTTCTATTCTTTTCTATGTGACTTAAAATGTCACCCTTTAAATAACTTGTTATAAGATGGCTTTGTAAGCCTTATAGTACTGACAATGCAAAAACCTGTAACAGATTCACTAAAAATAAAAAGCAATTAATTAAAAAGCACTATCAGAGAAAATCACTTAACCACAAAGGAAGACAGTAAGAAAGGAAGAGAAAAATTACAATACAAAAAACAATCAACAAAACGGAAGTAAAAGTCTTAACTCATCAATAACACCAAATGTAAACGGAATCCATTCTACAATTAAAAGGCACAAAATGGCTGGATGGACAAAGAAACAAGACCCAATACTACGCTGCTTACAAAAAAACCACTTCACCTATAAACATACACATAGTCCAAAAGGGAGGGGTGAAAAATGAAATTCCAGTAGTAGTTACACTTATATCAAATAAAACAGACTACAAATCGTCAAACAGTATAAAAAGAGACAAGGAAGATCAATATATAAGATACAAGGGTCAATTCTGCAAGATGATATAACAATTATAACTATTTATGCAACCAATATGAGGCAGCCAAGCATATGCAGCAAACATAAACAGATCCAAAGGGAGAGAGAGACTACAATACAATAATAGTAGGAAACTTTAGCACACCACTTTCGGAAATGTACAGATCACCCAGACAGAAAATCAACGAAGAATCAATAACCTAAAGGTCCTGACATTAACAGAACATCTCACCCAACGGTTACAGAAAAGACATTATTCTTATCAGCACATGGAACATTTTCAGAATATACCTTATCTTAGGCCACAGAGCAAATCTGAAAAATTCAAAAAGTAGCAATCATACCACTATCTTTTCTGGCCACAATAGACTACAATAACAAGAAGAACCTTGGAAACTTCGCAAATGTATGGCAACTAAACAAAATGTTCCTGAATAACCAATGGGTGAATAAAGAAATTAAGAAAAGAAATTTAAAATTTCCTGAAA